CGGGCCCCCCGGGGGGGGGCCCCCAGGGGGGGCCCCTGGGGGGCGGCCTCCCCTTCGTCGGGGGCGGCCAGGGGCAGGGGCTGCAGGGGGGCCCCGGGGGGCCCCTCAACGCCGGGGCCCCGGGGGGGGCCCCCCAGGGGGCCCCCGGGGGCCCCCGCCATGCTGGCAACAAGCAGTACCCTCCTGGGGCGGGGGGGGGGCCCCCAGCAGCTAACAAGGCTGCTGCTGGGGGGCCCCTCGCTGCTGCAGTGCCCTCGTCGGGCTCCTCCTACCCAGATGCCCCGCAGCAGCAGCAGCAGCAGCAGCAGCAGCAGCAGCAGCGGGGGCAGCAGCAGCACGCGTGGAGCGGTGCAGGCTCCCAGCAGCAGCAGCAGGAACCCGCCGCCGCGGCAGCAGCGCACAGCAGATGGAGCAAGCAGCAGCAGCAGCAGCAGCAGCAGCAGCAGCAGCAACTGGGGCCCCCGGAGGGGCCCCCCGAGGGGGCCCCCCAGCAGCCCCCAGCCCTGTACCCTAGGCAAGAAAGGCAAAAGCGGTTTGGGGGGGCCCCTGGGGGGCCCCCGGGGCCCCCTGGCACTGTGGGGCCCCGTGAGGGCCCCCACGGGGGCCCCCATGGGGGCCCCCACGGAGGGCCCCACGGAGGGGGCCCCCACGGGGGGCCCCACGGGGGGCCCCACGGGGGGCCCCATGGGGGCCCCCATGGGGGCCCCCGGCGCTTCAATCGGGGGGCAGGGGGGCCCCACTTTGGCATGCAGATGGGAGAGGCCCCCGGAGTTGCTGCTGCAGCAGGGGGCCCCCCGGGTTCGCTGCGGCAGCAGCAGCGGGTGCACCGGGGGCCCCCCGGGTGGGAGCAGCAGCAGCAGCGGCAGCAGCAGCAGCAGCAGCAGCAGCAGCAGCAGCAGCAGCAGCAGCAGATGTGCCCCTATGTCCACCGCAGGGCTGGCTGCTTCAGAGACTCTGAGTGCAGATTTCTTCACACTCGAGAGGGCCCCCAGCTGCAGCACGGGGGCCGCGGGCAGAAGCAGCTGCTGCAGCAGCAGCAGCAGCAGCAGCAGGAGCAGCAGCAGCAGCAGGAGCAGCAGCGGCAGCAGCAGCAGGACGCGGAGCAGCAGCAAGGTGTGGTGGACACCCAGGCCGCCGGCCACAGCGATGGAGAAGCTGCTGCGGAGCAGCAGCAACGAGCTGACGGCGAGCAGCAGCAGCAGCAGCAGCAGCAGCAGCAGCAGCAGAACGAGGAGGCGGCCGCGTTGGCTGCAGCAGCAGAAGGCCCTCGGAGCCCCCACCCGGCCTACGAAGCCGCAGCAGCAGCAGCAGCAGCAGCAGCGCGAAGCAGCAGCGGGGCCGCTGGTGCGCAGCAGCAGCGGCAGCAGCAGGTGCTGCAGCAGCAGCGGCAGCAGCAGCTGCTGCAGCAGCGGCAGCAGCAGGTGCTGCAGCAGCAGCTGGAGCAGCAGCAGCAGCAGCAGCTGCAGCAGCAGCAGCTGCAGCACCACCAGCTGCTGACCGGGCAGCAGCAGCAGCAGCAGCAGGCCGAAATGGCCGCAGCCTTCGCCTTCTCTGCTGCTGCTGCTGCAGCAGGGGGGGCCCCCTACTACCCCCTGGGGCCCCCGGGGCCCCCCGAAATCTTTCCCCAGCTGCTGCTGGACCCCACACAATACTTTTTGCATTTGCTGCCTCCCCAGGGGGCCCCCCCGAACTACTTTGCTGCTTGCTGCTCGGCCCCCCCGGCCAAGAGCAGCAGCAGCAGCAGCAGCAGCAGCTGCAGCAGCAGCAGCTACAGCAGCAGCTGCCACCCCTTCGCAGCAAACTTGGTGGGGGCCCCCCAGTACCCTCACCCTGCACTGCAGCTGCTTTATGGGGCCCCCCCGGGGGCCCCGGGGGGGGCCCCCCTGGGGGCCTTTTTTCTTGACAGACAAACCCGAGGGGGGCCCCCGCTGAACCCTTTTTGTGCAACGCAGGAAGAGCTCGTCGCAGCAGCACCGAAGTTTTATGAGGACTAAACGGTTTGCTGCTGCTGCTGCTGCTGCTGCTGCTGCTGTGCAGCAGCAGCAGCAGCGGCAGCGGCAGCAGTGCAGCAGCAACAGACGGTGCTGCGGCTGCAGCTGCTGATTCAGCCCAGGAGCACTGCTGTGCAGCAGCAGCAGCAGCAAGTTCAGCAGCAGCAGCAGCAAGAGCCGCGCAGGAGCAGCAGCAGCAAAAGCTGCGCAGCAGCAGCAGCAAAGGCTGCAAAGCAGCAGCATAAGCTGAGAAGCAGCAGCAGCGTAAGCTGCAAAGCAGCAGCTGCAGCAAAAGCTGCACAGCAGCAGAAGCAGCAGCAAAAGCTGCACAGCAGCAGCAGCAGCAGCAAAAGCTGCGCAGCAGCAGCAGCAGCAGCAAAAGCTGCACAGCAGCAGCAGCAGCAGCAGCAGCAGCAGCTGCTGCTGCTGCTGCTGCTGCTGCTGCTGCTGCCCCTCAATGTGTGAGGGTTTTTCTCTTTCTCTGCAAACCAGAGCGCTGCGTTTCAGCC